CACCAATCATTTAAATTTTGGGTGATATTTATTAACTTTAAAATGTGTTCTTGTAATTTCATTATACTTGGGCTAAATTTTTACATTGTTAGGATGAGACAAACCCTTATTATAAGATTTTTGGTATTAATTAATTATTGTGACGTTTAGTATTTTTTTTTTTTTGGATGTTTATTATTGTTTTCACCAACTTCTCAATTAATCAGCTACTAATTGAGATGATTTATTGGAACCCATTGTTATCGAGAGAGATAATAGGTTTTTAGCTAAAAATAATAAATATTGTAAGGTTCGATAGATAATAGAAATATATATTTATGCTTTACATGGTTTTCATAGATGTTCTAGATCGTTTAATGCATTTATCTTGTTCGTATCTTTTATCAAGAGATAGGAAGAACACACTAGGTGAATATATTTGATAACTATCGAAAGAGGTTTTCAATTAAATTAGAAATATTGACCAACAAGAATAACTATAAACTGTCATCTCAATTTGTTGTGCTAAAAATGGTTTAGCAAGGAGAATTTTACATCTTGGCAATACGTTTTACGAATTTGATAAACATTTACTTACTTTTATTTTAGTTGATAAATTAGACTTTGATTTGCTACAACTTTATATTGCTATTCAATTAAAGTTATTATTAATTTGAACCCAATCAAATATTTAGTCCATGTGGGTTCAACACTCTATTTGCTACTTTACTACTTGTTCACGATTTCGTTTACTTACGGGAAATCAAACAATCAGCTCGTGCTCAAGCTTGTCTTGAAACAAGCTCGAGTTGTCCATGGACCAAATTTTTTTCAAGCTTGTCGGTTCGATTTCCACCTCTGTATGAGCAAGAGTTTTGTCACAATCAATTGTTATGAATTAGCAGTTCATTCAGGGAAATTTGCACCATTAGTCAATCACTTGCGGACTTTGGGGCAAGCCGGATCTCATCTTTTACAATGGAAATGGTCCTCATCCTTTCATTGTTGTTGCATAATTGCTTTTACTGCATTGTCTTCCACATACACTAAATGTGACGTGAAGCTCACATATCCACCTTTTTTATGAATAAAATGGAAAAATACTTAATTTCAAAGAATAAAAAAATTTAAAACAGAAAAACCCTTACATCATCCCAACTCCTTGATGGTCCATCGTGTACCCCCGACCCCTTTGTTTGTGGCGTTCTCTCAAACTTTGGTTGTGATATGGTTCCCCACAAACTCCTATTCATGACAACTACGCATCTTCTTCTATTAACAATCTATTCTCTGATCTTATCTATTCTCGCATATAAACACAAAAGTGTACACAAATAAGCACATACACACGCGTGCACACACATTTAATATTTGTCGACTTTTTACAACCATCCCTTGGGTACCCGTGCAACAGAAGTCTTGGAATTACCATGCATCCAACAAATTGGGGACCCCTCTTTAAATGAGAAATTGGGGAATGGGAGTAGTGAGAAAATTTTAACAGAAGGGGACCTCTTTGAATGAGAAGTTGATGTGGAAAAAACAGTATATACTCTCTGAGTTGTTGAAATTCAAGAAATTAGAGATTATCGTGGTCCACTATCGATTGGAAACTACTTGCTAGAAAACCACCAAGTGAGTACAAGATTTCGTCACATTCAAAAACACTTTAAAATGAAAATGATTGGACAATAAAATTAATAAAATTTTAACTTCTCTTTCTAACAAAAAGTTGAACCTCAACATCGAGGGCTTCCACCGCCCCGTCCTGAAAAATTTGTGAGGGAGGTAAATCGCTGGATGTACCTCAACAGATCAAGGAACAAGAGCTGCTTGAACACTGCGCCTACAAGGAGTCCAATTCCATGTCTCAAAAATCAAACCTTCACACCGCGACTGTCAGCAAGGCGTGAGGTAACCTTACTCCTGTCCTTTGCACCACTGGGCTATACCACGAGGGATAATTTTAACTTCCTTTTCTAATCCTATCTAAGGTTGACTTAAGTATTTTTTGTTTTCATTTACGTCTAGCTCTACATGTATCCAATGACAGGTCTAAGAATTCGAGTGATCTAGGACAGATTAAGGCGAGTGTGCATGGTCCTCCAATATATGAAAAAAAAAAAAAAAAAAAAAAAAAAAAAGAATTTGGCGGAGGCATGGTTGTCCAAAAAAAAAAATAATAAAAATTGGCAGAGCCGGCATGGGGCCTACAGCTCGTCAACATGAAATGTGTCACATTCGACGCACAAATTTTAAAAATGCTATTTCTACCAGAAATTTGTATGCCCTAACGAAAGCTAAATGACACCCACGTGTTTTGGTGGAATAGTCACGTGCAATCCACGTGACGTGTTCCCTCTCAATCTTCTTATGATATGGACTTGAGAATTGGCATGTATGGTTGAGAAGAGACAATGTTGTTAAATTCAACACATATCTTGTGCTTTAAGTGATGCAGTCCTTACATTGTTATTTAGGACCTAAAATCAACAAAACAAATCATATTGGGAACATATGTTCCTTGTTACCTTGACATATTTTATTGTTTATTTTCATATTTTTGTTACATAAAGAAAATGCCAAGGACATAAAGACATGAATATTTATTTGTTTATTATAGTTGTCTAGGGTATATTCACCTTGTAATTACGTGATTATACTGTGGACACGACATTTGTTTAGCTGTCGTGTAGTTTAGGATACTAAACATTTATTTATGATGTGTGGTTAAAAAGTCGAAAAAATTATGGATCGCATAGAATATGTGATTGAAAATGAATCTGAAAAAATAATTAATAAAAATAAAAAATAAAAACTCTCCCAAATAAATCATAAATTGGATAAGATTGAATACGATAGTTTTTTTTTTCTTGATCATGATTAATTATGTTTAATATAACATATAAGACAAACTAGAAGTATTGTGTAAAACTCTCTCTTAGAAATATATTTATTATGCAAATTTTAGATGCGGGTTTTGCTTATGAGCCTCTTACCATCTCGCCAAACATTTGTATGCTAATCTGCCCCCATGGCACATCTTCAAATGGTGAAAAGGGAGGGTGGAGAAATTCAACTTTGCTTGAGGCTGATGCGTCAAGGGTTCGAATCCTGAAATATGGATTTGGCTATTGGATAAGCGCAAGTGTACAAGCAGCCTTCCACCCTGTACCCTTGGAGGCATGACCTGCGATTTACCTCCCTCACAATGCTCCAAAACAGGGGTGGTGGGGGACCCTTAAGGTTAGGGTTTAACCTTAAACATTTGTATGCTAATCTGCATAATTTATTAAACTTACATTTGTAGTTAAGAAAATGCCGCTAAATTAGCTATATTGAATATCATCTAAAAATTTAAACTATTAAAGATTTGATGCATATATTTATGGTAATTTGATCTCCAATATTTAATCAAAACACTAATGTTGCACAATTTCATAAATCGATATTAATGAGATTTGAATTTAAGAACTCTATTTACTCGACTACGAAGTTGTCTGCCCTCATTAAAAAACTTAGCCCATGTTAATCCCCATTATCTAAAACTTATTTTACTCAAATTCGTTTTCTAACATACCTTTTCTGGGATCCCGAATGTTATCAACTTTATCAAAATCTATTTAAAATTTGATATTTAGCTAAATCAAACCAAAGAAGTTACAAGAAATTGATATGTACACCTATTTAAATAGAGTGTTTAACATCCTCATAACTAGTGAGAAATTGGATGGTAAATGCCCCCCAGGGCACATTCCAACTGGCAAAGATGAGGGCGCTTCAAGGCTGGCAGATCAGAGGTCGTGAGTTCGATTCTTGGAAGGCTCTTGGGAGACAGATATTCTCCTGGAAGGCAAGATTTATCTTGAAAGGCACAAGCTCTACTGGAAGGCAATGTGCAAAGATGGGAAAACGACTTGCTTGACACTTTGACAGATCAGTTGGGGGGCTTTTGAGCACTGGTCAGTTTGGGACACAATCTGCGTTTTAACCTGTCTGCAGCTTGAGGGACCAAGGTGCAGACTCCAGAATTTAATCACTGTAAGGTGGATACGTAGATATCAAAAAAAAAAAGAAAAAGAAATTGGATGGTAAAGTGAGTAGAAGTACATGAATGTTAAAAACAATGTCGTCCAAAGCATGTCATGAGGTAGGATTACACGAAATGGGCTAAAGAACCCTATTCTACTTTAGAAACATTACTTTATCTTTTTGACTCAGAAATCTAGGGCTTGGCTCTTTTTGAAGCAACCGGACCCCCTCTAGATATGGAAGTCCTATTGGTTCACGCTCTCAACAACTGTGTTTCATCTACGCCCCATTCGTCGGAAAATGCTTCCCATCCATTGGCTCAAGTTAAATGATTTTCAACCCGAATTTAAACTTAATTCACTTTGAAATACTGTTTTACTTTCGCACTTCCTTTCGAGGTATAAAAAGCAAATCAAAAGATCCTATTCTATATAAAAATGATACAATATTAGCATTCATGGAGTTGGAGAGTTTGGATGTAAGTAGAAGAGGCCTCGAAAAGCGTTTAAAAATACTACCTTCGTAAAATATGTATTATTTTGCCTTGGTGGATACATATAAAATAATTATTACGGATAAAATAGTTAATTTTTGGGCAAAAAGGGCTGAAATGGATGCCAAAGGTAGGTTGAAAGTTTATATTCCAACGCATCAAGTATAACAAGAGTGAAATTGATCTCTTAATATTAATGGACAAGATAAAAACTTTTCACAATTGAGGTTTTCTTGACACATTAACATTGATAAATTTTTATTCTACCTACTGAAAGCAGGAGATTAAACTTGATAACAAAGGAGTATAATAACACACAATAGACGAGTGTGTGAGTAGTAAAAGTTCAAAGATTACTATTAACTCGTACAATTCGCACTGTGTTTAGTTCGGTATATCAAAATGGGGAACGAGTGTGGGGGACGACGCGCTTTAAATGTGTGCATCACGACATAGATATATAATCAAGAAATCTTTTTTTTTTTTTTTTTTTTTAACAATCTAGATGAAGGGTTCGACCTTAACAATCACAATGAAGAACAAGAATATGACAGATTAATGAAGAAAAAACGATGTTTCGAAGAAACTTTTGAGGAAATCAACAATGTACAAGTTCCTCGAACATTACCATTGTTGGATCATATCGATCTTTGTGAGGAGGAAGATGGGGTTGTGGGCTGGCCACCGATTAACTCTTGGAGGAAGAAGATTTGCCACCACCACCACCACCACAACAGCCGCCGTGGCTGCACCAACCCCACGAACTATGTGACAGTCAAGAATGGTTGCGGCGGCGGCAGTAGATCAAATTCCATGTACGTTAAAGTGAAGATGGAAGGAGTTGGGATAGCAAGAAAGGTAGACTTGAGCCGCCACCATTCTTATCAAACGCTAATTGACACCTTGATGGCCATGTTCGTCAATGTAAGTAACACAAATTTCTTTGTACATGTTCAGTCGAGTGTATCAAATATATTATTTATTTATATATTGTGACGAATTTGACATGTAATTAGTAGAATGAAATGATTTTGTATTGGAATTAGAGTAGACAGAGAGTTTAATGAATGATAATTCTTTTTGAGAGTGTTTGATCAGGAAAAAGTGCAGGGCTACAAGCTTGCATATCAAGATAAAGAAGGTGATTGGCTGCTTGCTGGAGATATGCCTTGGGGGTAGGTTTCCACTATACTATTATCATATTATTACTTAGTTAATTAATATTTTACATATTTTATTTTTAAAAAAATTGGTAATAATAAAAAACTTACAGAAATTTGGAATTTGTTCTGCAGAACTTTTATCAACTCGGTGCAGCGTTTAAAACTGTTAAGGAATGGCAATTGATTTCATGGTGCAAGGCTTTTTTTGCTTTATTATTCGATTAGTATTACGTATGAATATGTATTTTTTTCCCCTTTCCTTTTGATGTAATCTTGTTCGTGTATTTCGACTAGGCTTCTTCTCTATTTTATGTAGATTTTTTTTGTAGTAAGTAATATGTATAACATAGAATTTATTCGACTTAGGAAATTAGAATGACAACGATTTACATATTTAACAAAATTTGAAGGAAAGGAAAAGGATATTATCAATTCTAGTTGTGATCTTTAATTATGTAAATATAAATCAGTTCTTTTCGAATTCCTTTTTCCCCAAATAATGCTAAGGTGGTGGAAAATTTTTATGCGTTTATCTAAGCCAAAGTTCTAACACAAGAAAGTCAAGATTTGAAAATATATCCCTATTTATGAATAACATTGGTAAACACGTAAGGTGGATAAAAATAAGTGGGCTCTAAACATAAAAGTAGCCGAAAAACAACGGTGCTGGGGCCACGTTGAGCGAGCCAATAATTGAAATAGACTTTTGGGAAGAATTCACAACTCAGCTTTTAAGAATGGGCCATACAAATATCAAGCCTATAGGTTTAAATATGCAAAAATCAGGTGCCTATCTAGACCGGATGAAAATTGTAATTTAGCTCGTTAAAAATTATAATTTGAACGATTGGGATAAAAATGTCTGACAGATATCTAATTGTCGAATTTGCCCTCAATTGCGGGAGATATTGGACGTATTTATTAAAATTAATTAAAATATTTTATTAATTAATTAAATATATTAAGGTCACAATTATACAATTAATGATCATGGATACATATTTATAGGTCACAGATGCATACTCACAACGTCACATTTTGTCAACTTAATTTGTCACAAATTATTTCCTCAGTCACAGATTATTTCATCGATGACAAATCAAACAATTTATAGATCACAGTTTATTTATCAATCACAAACTTTCAAAATAATTGGTCACAAATTATCATTCAGTCACATATTATTAAAATTTTAGATCACAATTGAATATTTGGTCACAAATTGCCCAATTTCTTGGTCACAAATTATTTTTCAATCACATGTTATCAAATTTTCAGATCACATTTGAATACGTGATCACAAATTATACAATTTATTGGTTACAGTCCCAAGTAATTGGTTATAAACACCCCCATCCGCCAGTCAACTATGCGCACCAACAAAACAATACACCAACTTACCATCACTGTAGCACAATCGTCACCAACGCCTGCACCACCAAGGTTCAGCCACGCCACTAACACCATAAGCACCACCAGCTTTTCATCCCAACCACACCAAAACAACAATTCCCACCTAAAAAATCCCTAAATTCCCACCTAAAAAATCCCTAAAGTCATGGCTGTCGACCACCAAAAACACAATCATCACTGCAGCACCGACGCTCACGCCGCACGCAATGTCGCCCAAAATTGGCACCACAATCACCACCGCAACCTCACCACCAAAGCTAGTAACCACTACCACAAACAAAACATACAACCAAAACCACTCTACAACCACACAAAATCAAATTCACGGCTGAAGACCACCCCAAAGCCATAGCCAAGCATCGATGTACGCTGGGCTCAAATCAGCGCGACGATGTGAAAGATCTGCTTAGATAAGGGCGTGTAATATGAATGGAAGTGCACAGCTCATAGCGTCGCTACTTGGAAACGGTTGTTGATGTCGTTGCGTCAAAGATCCTCTTCGAGGAAAGGCGTCGTTGAGAGAGAAGAGAGATTAGGAAGAAGAGAGTGACTCGCGTGTTTAGAGAGAGAGAGGAATGAGATGCTATGGGAAAGCCTAGAAAGGTTAGGTTTTGTGTTTAGGCGGGGTGGGTAAATAGTGGATACCTGATTTTTGCTTAAATAAACAGTAAGTGTTATGCCCTAGGTCCAATCGACTTTGGACATAAACACCTTTTAGTATATAGTTTATGCGATTTATGACAGATCTATTATTTAATTAATTAATATTCAATTGAATTAAATAATGGAGTCCGTAGATTCAAATCTTAGTAATTTATTAATCACAAGGAGTTGTAATTATGATATATAAATTACATATGATTGAATCATAAATCATCCGTGGTCGTAAGTAATGACGAGATACTGATATCGTTATTATGGATATACTATCACGTGTGGCATTTCTTACTTGTGAAGTAAGTAGCTGATCTCACAAGTTAAATTGTGATGATACTTAAATGAACACATTGATGTTTTGTTATAGAACAAAATATTGGAGACCCGCTGAGAGATTCCACATGGATAACAATTTGAGTGTCAGTGATTAATCTTTAACGTTCAGTAGTGGGATTGGTCATTTGACTTGAGGTCATCATATGATACTTAAATGAACACATTGATGTTTTGTTATAGAACAAAATATTGGAGACCCGCTGAGAGATTCCACATGGATAACAATTTGAGTGTCAGTGATTAATCTTTAACGTTCAATAGTGGGATTGGTCATTTGACTTGAGGTCATCATAGTGCCTTATACGAGGACAGTAATGCTTTGACGATGTTGTATATTGTTCTGTTAAAGGCCGCTAATACGACATCGTTCAGGTATATCAAGAATCCAATGAAAATTGTGAATGACTAATAGAGAATTCGTCACTTTTAGATAGTAAGAGATTATGATCTGCATTTCATTCAATTAACTCGATAACGAAATCTTTGGTCAAGGTGTACTCATAAGTCGAATATGAGTTTTTGACTTATATTGACTTAGTAGTGGAATGAAAGAAATGATCAATAATCGGGATTAACACACTTTCATATCTTGTAATTGATCGGATCATATGGACGAAGGGATTATAGTTTCACGGTAAATAAACGAGTTTGGTTTTGTCATACCACGTGACATTTTTCGTCATATGTATTGCCCTAACACATTGCTAGATGTCAATCTGGGACGACGAACGTGAATTAGTAATAAATTAAAAGGGTATTTTAATTTATCGATTTTGATTAGATTAAAATAATAATTCATATTGTTAGACATCGTGATCGGGAACCTGATAGGTCGTACATAAAAGGAGAACTGAAAGATTGTGATTTATCAATTAATTAATTTAACAAGAGTTGGATAAATTAATTAATTGAGTTGCTTATTTATAGGCCCGAATTAATCAAATTAATTCATGGACCGGATTTAATTAAATGAATTAATTAAATATTGGATCGGGTCAGGTCAAACCCATTTGGGTTTATATAAATAAGTGATTAGGTTTTTAATTTGTAAATTTTTCATTATTCTTGCTAGTACAAGAAGAAAATCATAATCCTACAATCTTAATCTCTGTGTGGATCACTGTTGGAAGTTGGACAATTGAACAGCTATGGGTGGTGAATCAAGACCGTTGGAACGCAAGAATAACAAAGAAGTTTGCAGATCTAGAAAAATGTATGACTTTTATCACAATTTCTATCTAAACACAAAGACGATTCTTGGTGGGAATTGAAATCTATTTTAATTTTTCGTTGCGCATGATAAGTCTATTCTCAACATAAACTACACACCTAAATTTTGAATTAGAAATTTTAAACACCTGCTTTTATGTAATTTCCTCTAGATCCAACCCACCCCCCCCGCCCCGGGAACCCAGTTAAAAATAGGAAAAATTGATAAATAGAAGGTTACATGATTCAAAAATGAAAAATCAGGTCCAGTGTTTATATTTGGAAAAATCTTGGAATTGGTCACATTTCGAACTATTTAAGTGGAAAATAAACTAGAATAATTAATAACAATTAGTCAGCTAATTAGTCGACTAATTTCTGGGAACAAATTCTTGTTAGTTTCATGGATAATGACCAAAATAGTTTATCTAATCTAACCAAAACCCAACTTTGAATTATGATTCTCGTCTAGAAAAGTGGAATGGAACTTGAGGATTTCTTCCGATTTAGGGATTTTTATGAACTCAAATTGAAAATATCATATGGTGGAGAGTGGGGGCTGCGCTGGCGCCGACGGGTAATAACCGGAGTCAAGGGTAGAAGAAGCAAAAATTGTGGGATGAGAGAGTTTTGGAGGGGGCACCTTGTTTAGGATGGATCGATGAATTGAAGCCCATTTCATTGTTTTCTTTCTTTTATTTTATAACTATTAAAATATATTCTTTTCTTCGTTATTAAAATTATGTCACGTAAAATGATTATTGCAGTTATTGACTATGAATAGCATGATTTACAGTTAAATAGTCGGATTCTTTTCTTCATTATTAAAATGATGTCACGTAGAATGACTAATGTAGTCATTGACTATGAATAACATGATTTGCAGTGAAATAGTCGGTGTTGATCTCGAAAATTGGTCCTTCCACGTGGCCAACTGAAAGCTACTCCACGTGTTCCTCCCTGCGCACAATCAGCGAATAGTCAGACGCACACGGCCGAAACCAGCGGGGGTGGTAACGGCCGTATACACTCCGACGGTCAAGTCAAGTTTAAGTGGTCGGAATAGTACCCAGGGGCTATGCAGATCAATGACAAAGGGGGAGGAGAAAATATATAAACTTGTTGTGGAGTGCTATGTAGTAAGAGTTTCATTACCTTTGTCTCTTACCAAACCTTGGGTATTTATCGGTGGTATGAACCGTTAGATGTGGGACGCGTGTATACATCTGACGGTATGAGGCGTCCGCTCATAGGCGTCAATCAGTCGCGTCTGTAGAGTGGGCGGACAGTTTGTTTCTTCTGAGTTGAATTAACATAAAGTTGATAAGTCACATCAACTAGCCTCATGGAGACGTTAAATCAATTTAAACCCTAGGTGCAGGAAGGATCTTGGCACAAATCTCTTTCTGAAATTGGCGGCGAATCTTCTAACCGGGGTCCACTTAACCTCGACCTCGGAGGCGACGTGCTTCGACAGGTCAGTAGTGGGAATCGCTATATCACTTCGGACTGGTCGTTATCAGGTCGGAATATATGGTGCTGCGAGTTCCGAGGCGTATAAGATCGGAGCGTAACAGCGGTCCCCCAAGTCGAGGGATGAATATTTATATCATGCGTGGACTTGCTTTCCTGACCGGACCGCGAGTCATGGGAGTTTTGGGGGTTGATCTGTTGCAGTAATCGAGGTTATGATCCCAGGCAGACGTGCCAAAGTTTAGTTACTGTGCGTAACGTACGAGGCGGTCAACCAGCATGGAACTTCGCGTAAGGTGCGTCAAAGCTTCGTGAATATGGTGTGCTGACCCCACAGACCAACACGTTG